ATGAGAGAGCTCTTAGGTAAAGAAGCTGTAACCTGGTATCCTACAGGTAATCTGGTTTTGTGTAGCCCGCAGAATATTTCTAATGTGAATGAGCTAGCAATCAGGACATTTCATCTTTTTTAAAAAAAAAATTAGTATTTTAGTGTCTTCTGAAAATCTAGAAACTCTGAACTTTCCCAGTGGGGGAAGCATCCTCTGGCAACTTACAGTCCTCCCCACTCACTATCACATTGCTCAGGACCCAATTCTTCTCTCACTGCCTGTCTCTTTTAGAAACAGATTTTCCAATTCACAAACTTGCACAACAAATTTGTGAGTGGCTTGGTTAGAATCAGTTCTGATATCAGCAACACGGTGCACCCAGGGGGGGAAAAAAACCGATCCTTTGTCCTGCAGCCAGCTCACCAGGGCCCACTTTCCCTACCCTAAAGATAAATTCCCTTCAGTCCTTCACTTCTTTTTCCTGTAATATGACCTCACTAGGAACCATTCCAATCCATCTGACAAGGGTGGAGAGAAAGGAATCTGGTTCCCAATTCTATTTTCCCAGGAGGCTCCTGTCCTCCAAGGAAAATTTAGGATGCATGCTAAGAGATAATTGGGGGGGGGGGGCTGGGTGGCTCGATGGCTCAGTCGTTAAGCGTCTGCCTTCGGCTCAGGTCATGATCCCAGGGTCCTGGGATCGAGCCCCCATCGGGCTCCCTGCTCCACGGGAAGCCTGCTTCTCCCTCTCCCACTCTCCCTGCTTGTGTTCCCTCTCTCGCTGTGTCTCTCTCAAATAAATAAATAAAATAAATAAAAAAGAGATAATTGGGAGGAAGTTATGTCATCTCTATTTGCCAACAGCATCTGAAACCCAAACCTTGTTCAGAAAAAAACATTTTTTCAAAAGATGTTTGCATTTAGGCAATTTTCACATTTATTGGTAGTCTTAAGCATCTTTTCATGATGTAGCTAAAATAAAATCTGTCATGGGTTTTTTCTGCTCTAATATTGCAAATGATTCAGCATAATAAAAGTTATATTTTTATAACTACTGTTTGACAACTTGCCAAACAATAATGGAGAAAAGGCTACAGTACAAATATATTTAATATCCTAATAACCTAACAAGAAAAAGCACCAAGCTTGGCATGTTAGAAAAGGAAGAATATAAGAATACTAAATGTTTAATTTCTCTCCAAAAAAACCCACATTAATACAAATTAAGATAACTTCATAAAACTTGAATCAATCATAATAAATATAAGAAAAATGGAACAAACACTTGTCCAACAACAGATCAGACCACATTAACCCACCAGGGCACACATCTATCTTGATGTTATAGTCTTATCCACCATTCGTTGCCTGGGTTTCAGATCCAAATAAGTATGGGTAGTTGCTATAGTGACAATATGCCACTTTTGGAACAAGGAGCTTAGTACTACTGAGTATTTATGAGCTTTATAACATCAGTACTTCCTCCCACACTTTGAATCCTAGTTCAGACATTATAACTTCACAAAATGCAATTTCATTCTGCTGTTCAGAAGTCAATTTTGTTGGTTTATCATAAAGTTTATACTTTAGTATATATGTCAAGAGAAATAGTCTAACTCGTTAAATTAACATGCTAAGAATACACATACTCAATAAATATTTGATTAATGTTAAAGATGTTGGCTTAATAAACAAGTTGTATCCCATCATTGGAATTTTTGGTTTTATTATGGTAACTAGGCCAAAAACCATATCATTAATTCATGTCTTAGCTTATTTTCATTAATAATAGTATTACAACCATTCTTCATATTACATGAAAGTAAAAAATTTAAAAAAAAACACTGAGAAGCTGATTTATTTTATAGCAGATTGATATATTTTTATTTCCTTTAGGAACAATTCCTAATAATTAAAAAGTAAGTATTAATGGTATCCAAGAAAAATGCAGTTTGTTTCTAGCAAAATGCTAAGAATAAGGAAAAATAATCTCAAATCAATCAGAGGATATCTCAAGATCTTCAAAAAGTCAGAGCCTGGAAATCCTCATTATATTGCTTCTGGGAAGAAAAATGATACAGCCACTTTGGAAAACAGTTTGACAATGTCTCAAAAAGTTATACACAAAACTACCATATAACCTACCATACACTTTCCTAGGTATCTACCCAAGAGAAATGAAAACACATGTCCACAAAAAGACTAGCACATGAATGTTCACAGAAACGTTATTCATAATAGCTGAAATCTGGGAACTAAATATCCATCAAGTGGTGAATGGGTAGATTAAAAAAAAAATCCATAAAATGGAATACTATTCAGCAATAAAAGGAACGGATTCATGACACATGCTACATCATGAGTGAACCTCAAAAACGTCATGCTAAGTGAAAGACACAAATCATATATTGTATGATTCTATCAATATGAAATGTTCAGAAAAAGCAAATTTATAGAGACAGAAAGTGCATTAGTGGCTGGCTGAGGAGTGGGAATTAGCTATAAATGGGCATAAGGTATCTTATTAAAGGGATGAAAATGTTCTTAAACTGATTTACAGTGATGGCTGCACCATTTGGTAAAATTACTAAAAATCACTGACTTGTATACTTGAAATGGGTGAATTTTATATGTAAAATATGTCTAAATAAGTTCTGTCTTCTTAAGTCAGAGAATATCAGAGCTGCAGGGAACCCTGTCAAAACTCTATTTGTACAGATGGAGAAAATGAGGACCAAAGAGGTTAAGCAAATTGTTTAAATGTCACCTAGCTAGATCATAGCAAAAGCAAAAAAGATCAAAATCTAGCCTCATTTTCCAACCCAGTCCAGTGTAACATCTACTAAAAATGCTCAAGGAATTTTTTTATTATAATAATAATCACACAGAATTCTTTGAGAGGCGCTCTAGAAGCATCAAATTTGAGACTCAAAAATAACTACGGGCACCTGGGTGGATCATCGGATTAAGCTTCTGACTCTTGATGTTGGCTCAGGTCCATCTGATCTCAGGGTTGAGATCAAGCCCCTCCACCAGCTCTGCACTTAGCACGGAGTCAGCTTGAGACTCTTTCCCTCTCCTTCAGCCCCTCCCCCTGCTCCCACTCTCTTTAAATAAATAGACAAAATATTTTTTTAAAATAATAACTAATTAAAATATACCAAAAATCAATGAGTATATGATATTAAAAAAATAAATAAAAGCTAGAAAAACTCATTTGTCACTCTTTGAGGCCCTAAAACTTACTTTCAAAATTGGTAATAAAGAAAAACATCTAAACATTTTTTTTCTAACTTTCCAACAGAAGCTGTATTTTGGAGTAACTACATGTTGCCAGTTTATGAAAGAAAGCTTCTACCCAGAATGCAAATTAATAAATATAGATGAAATGAAAGAATTAGAAACTATCATTTTGCAACCCCTATTTTTAGGAAGCCAAATAACACGTTACAGATTACTTTAAGGAGAAAAACAAAGCATAAATTTAGGGGGGAGATCAAGATGTCACCAACTTAATCAAGCCATTAGCATTAATGTCCAGGTTTATTAGAAATTCAAGGACTAGAGAGGTAAGCTAAACACCAAGAGAAAATAGTCAAAAAATTATAGAAGGGGAGATATTTTACTGGATAATGTCTCCTCTCTAGCTAATCAAAGGGGAAAAAATGTGTTGGGGGGGTGACTATTCTAGATTAACAGACTTGAAATACATAAACAAAAACAAGTGTGGTCTTTAACTGGATTCTGGTTTGGATAAAACAGCTGTAAAGGTCATTTGGGAGATAAATGGATAAACATGAAGACTTACAATATCAGATATTAGAATATTAGATAACATTGATGTTATTTAAAGTGTGATAATATTTTTGTTATATAGTTAAACATGCTTTTATGGAGATGCATACTGAAGGACTTAGAAATGGAATATCTAGAGGTCAGTGGTTCACTTCAAAATACGTCAATGAGTTTAAGAAATAAAAAATTAAAATCCAAGTCTCAACTTCCTAATTCACTGCTGTTGCCGTAAGTACTCGTTATTCATTAAGATATAATAGTAATTACATTGAAAGAACACTTGCAGACAGAGGTTCAGAGAAGTGATCTACCAGAATGATAGCTTTTTTTCTTACAGGTACTTAGCTGATGAGAACTCACAGATAACAACACTATATCGTTGGCAACATGGTACGTGCAAGGCACCAAAAGCCATCAAAGCAGAATGAATGGAGAGTTTTGCCCTCAAAGAGCTAAAAATATTTAGAACAGTTTCTTGGTGTTTACTAAGAGAACAAGGCTGTTCCAAGATCATAGTGAAGGCTCTGGAGCGGCAGCCTCACTAAAGCAATCCTCAATTATTACATAAAAATCACTTATTCCTTTCGGACTTCACCGCTTTTTACAACCAGTAAACTACTTCCCAAGTTGTGATCAAGGGACACTTTTAAAAATCCTTCCCTGAAATTACGGGCGCCAAACTAAAGAAAACCTTTACCATAACCATCAGCTTCTTTTCAACTAAGAGCCTTTAAATCTCAGAACCGGGAACTCAGAACTTCCCTCAAATCCCGGAGAAGAGGCTGATGATCGACCAGAGATCGAACTCATTTGCCTTTTCTTCCCTCTCTCCCTCAAAATCCAACGGGTGGCGCTGTCCTCACTCCTTCCCCACAGACCGGGTGTGCGCAGAGGTTATTTGCACTGTCGGACCAGTGATGAACTTCCACCTGCGGCCTCGGTCTGTGCTCGCCGCCGCCCCGCGCCGCGCTTCTCCTCTACCGACACAGCCCGTCCGAATTAGCCCGCGAGTCCGCCCGCTCCCTCTCCTTAGTGGCTCTCTCTCTTTCTCACGAACTCTTAACAGTACCCTGGGCGGGTGGGTCCGCCCAGAAACCCCGTGCATGCTGACATTTTGGCTCTGAGTCCTCGGCCCAGCAACTGAGAAACTGCGAGACCCCTCGCACTGACCCGAGTTCCCCCAATGCCACCGCCTGAACGTCCAAATTAACTAACTGACTTACACACTTGATGGGACTCAGCAGCCACTAGATGGGACGAACCGCCTAGCGCCGGCACTAACCGCGCTTCCCGCCCCGCCCCGCCGGCCTGCGTGCGTCAAAAGTCACGTGCCGCGTCTCCCTTCCCTACCGGCAACCAGGCGCTCCCCTCTTCCGGAAGTCGTGCTCCTCCTCGCAGGGCTCCTCCCACCACCGGTGACGTCAAACTCAGCGTCTACCACTGCTCTGCCTCCGCCTCCAAGCGCGGGGAGGTCTGCCGTTTCTTTACGATAAGTCCCACCGCTTCCTGGGCCCTAAACATTACAAGCGAGGATTTTGAAGTTACTGAGGGTGTAGGCCTTGGACTCGCGTGAGTACAGGTTAAGGGGCCAGAAGCTGGCTATCTAGAAGCCACACCCTCAGAGACCTTCCCCCCTCTCGGCAACTTCTGCTGCACTTGGTTCCGCCAAGACCCACGACGGTTCCGCCCCCTTCTTCCTTGTCATTGATGTTGTTGTTCTTGTCAGTGCCGCAGCCCCGACCGCCGGGAGCTCGAACCCGACCCGGGGCCGCCCGGGTGGCGTGGTGGCGGCGGCAGCAGCTGCGACGGCTGCGGGGGCTGCTCCGGGGACTGCGGGGGCGGCCGGGGGCTGGCAGCCGGCGGCGGGGCCGGATGGCTCTGTGCGGACAGGCGGCAGGCGCCGCGTCGCTGCCCAGCGAGCTGATCGTGCACATCTTTTCCTTCCTGCCGGCGCCGGACCGGCTGCGGGCCTCAGCTTCCTGCTCGCACTGGCGCGAGTGCCTCTTCTACCCTGCTCTCTGGCCCCAGCTCCGCATCTGCCTCCGCGTCTCCCCTGCGGAGCAGCCTCGGCTCGAATTCCTCATGCGCAAGTGCGGCTGGTTCGTGCGAGAGCTGCGTGTTGAATTCGCCGCCGAGAATTACCTGAGCGGTGGCGGCGGCCCGGGCGACGGAAGCGGCGCGGACACCGGGACTGGCGGGGAAGAAGTCGAGGCCCTGCAGCTCTCAACCCGTTGGCTGGAAGTGCTGCGCACCTACTTGGAGCTGGTGCTGTGCGTGCTGGTCAGCATCCGGAACAACAGGTAGGCTCATCATGGACCTTCCATCCATCCTCCTTTCCCCTCTCCCCTTCTCCCTGGGCCCCTTGTCGCTTCCCACCTCTCACCCCGAAATAGATTCAGTGCGGATACGCCCGGCCGGATTTAGCGTTGCTTTCTTCAGTGACTGCGGGTGTCAGTTCCAACTCGGCGATTTACTTGAGGCGGGAGGGCATAACGGGACTCATCATAATACTTTATAAACAGTGATGGACTTGATGTTTGTCAGACACCACTCCTGGCGCCTTTCAAGCACTGTCTCATTCATCCTCTCTGTGGCCCTGGGATGAAGCTGACAGGCGCCGTCATTCTTCATTTTACAAATGGGAGAGCTGAAGCTTGTGGGGGTGAGGCCTGTGAGTCTTGAGAGAAAACAAAACATAACCTGGTTTTTCTGACTCTGAACCTGTCCATTCAAAATAGTTCGTGGTGGGGGAAGAAGTAGGTATGCTGCTAGTGTCTCACAGTTACAAGACTCTCCCTAAAAGAAATCTCCGACAGCCATTTTCTTACCAGGAATAGTTTTCATTAACTGGGCCAGGCACAAAGAGTAGGAGGAGTGTTTGTTAAAGGGATGGGGGAAGAGCCTGATCATCAGGGTTGGAAGTCCCTCCCCTTGCACCTCTAGACTCAACTTGTCCCCAGCGATTCACCTAAAAGTAGCACAGTACAGCTTAGTGTTTGTGTGTGCTAGGGGAACTGCTCAATGTCTGCAAAGAATAAGCATGTAACTGTCCTGGTTTTGCATCAGGACTTTATTGTAACTCTGGGACTAACTTCCTATGTTCTGACCTATTATCTTTAAAAGCATTTTCCTTTATTTGTCGTCCTCTCCAAAATCCTATTAATTTAAGTTTTTGCATCTGGATGTTCTAAATAACCTTACAATTAAACTGTGAGTCGGAAAAAATTTCACAAGTTCTAAAAGGAGCAACTTACCTGGTAATAATAGTTTAGCAGCTTACAAGTACACCATCTTATTTGATCCTTTCAGTGACCCTGGGAGTTAGGCAAGGCAGCTCTTATCCCTATTTTATAGAAAAGAAACTGACACAAGTGATGTACACATTGTCATACAGCATTATTTTTCTACAAGAGCAGTGTCCTTCCTTTTGCAATAAATACATTGTGTTTAACATCATGCATTATATTGAACAGGGTTGAGAGAAGGTACTGATTTAATATAATTTCTGGATCTGAATCAAAAGAGTGGGAGATAAGCATGTAGCTCCAACTTGTACCTGGAGCCTGGCTCCATCATTCCAGTGGCCTGTGTATTTCCCCAGCTTTTCACACCAAGCCCTTCCATTTTCTTACTTTGGTTGTATGTAGCAAAAGAGGTGGTTTGAAGCTGTAAATTTGAGACTCTCAGAGTTGAATGTATGACTAGAGGACCAAATGACCCAGAGTTTTAAAGATTCAGAGTCACTGAGTGCTTAAACTACTGATGAGACCAAGAGTGGGAGTGAATTCAGTGAGTACTAATTAGATTTTTCTGTTCTGAGATCAGATGGCACTTCTGAGCAACCATCCAAAAACAAAAAAGCTTGCCTTTGGTCCAAGTACGAACAAGCCTTACAGAGTGCCTAGTTCCTTTTAAGTGTCTTAATAACTGGTTGGTTGGTTGGATAGATAACGTTATATAGGCAAAATAGTGGTGTATCACCTCTTTCCTTTGTTGTTTAATTCTTCTCTTTCTCCTCTCCTTACCCCTACCACTTTCTTTTCAGCTTTGTTGAGGTATAAATGACCAAAATGTACCTACGAGTTTTATTAGCATCCCAACCTACCTGTCTCTAATGCCACCTTATGCCTGCCCATTTGGGTCAGCTATCACTTCTATACAAATACGGCACACTGTCATCTCTGATTTTAAGGTTTTCTTGTCATTTACAGTAGGGGTGGTACTGTGTGTTGTGCTGCTTTGGTAGCACATTCATTGTGTGTGTCTGAAATTAAAATATAGTATTATTACATGTATTAATCTGTACTAGTGATACTTCAAAGGGTTTTTTAAAATAAAATATCTTTATATGTCTGGAAATAAGTTAATTTAACCTTTATTTTTGAAAATGTCTTGAGATAATCTAGTAATATTGAAAGTGCTAACATGAATGTTAAAAGCATAAATGGGACTAGTTTTCTCTCAACTTTAACAAATTTGAAATGTTTTAGATCAAGTTGTTTATTTGGTAATTTTGTTAAAGCCTATACTTATTTCCTTCTGTAAACACTTAAACTACAGGCTCAGGTTCAGTGAAGAAGAAAACAATTTCATGTAGTGATTTTTGGGTTTTCCAAAACCGTTAAATTTAATAACTAATGAGAAAAATGAACATTTGATACTGTTCGTTATACTTCCAAGCTAAATTTACAGTAGTTTTGGGTCTTGATTTCTCCCATTTTTATAAGTACTAAAGGGGGTATGAAACCTACCAGTTCACAAGCCTGATGCTTCCAGGCTTTGTGGTGAATTCCTTTATATAATCTGTACAACTCAGACTGTTATTTTCTTGTGTTCCAGATATTTTCATGTCCCCCAGAAAAAGAACTAAAACTATAACCTTGGATTGTGGGAACTTTTTAAGGGTACATTTTAGTTTTTGCTTGATTCCTGGGTTTCATATGTACGTGTACTCTCAGAGTGAATGTAGCCTCTTTACAGATATCTTAGATGTTAGGAACAACTAAAGATCAAAGAGGTGCAGAAATGCCTCTCAAAGGGCAAAACACAGTCCTCTAGGTTTCAGAGTTCCCTTCCCTACGGGAGTCTACAATATCTGCCAGTATTGTAAGAAACAGAAAGTAAGAAAAAAATGCAGTAGGTATTTCTCATTCAACTGTATTATAAGTTAAATAGGCTGAATTTCTTCTGCAGTTGTTCCGTAAGAAATTGTTCTTAAAAGTTCAAAACAACACATGTAGATATTCATTTTTAGGATTTAATCTGGTTGTTGAGTACTGCCTATTGAAATGCTGTATTTGACTGCTTAGGAAAAATGAGTTCCTGGACAATAAGATTTATAATAGCTAGTAGACTTTAGTTTTTTTAAAAAGATTTTATTTATTTGTCAGAGAATAAGGCAGGGGGAGCAGCAGGCAGAGGGAGAAACAGGCCCCCTGCTAAGCAAGGAGCCCGATGTGGGGCTCTTTCCCAGGACCCTGGGATCATGATCTGAGCCGAAAGCAGACACTTAACTGACTGAGCCACCCAGGCATCCCTAAAACTACTTATTTTTAAACAGCAGGCATGGGTATATTGTCATCATCCAGTTTATGCTTTTCTGGACTGTATAAGTATTTTACATTGAGCTTTGTTGGATGAAATTCTAAATTGGGGGCAGTACTTTTATTAAAGATAAATATTGCAGTAGGCCATAGAGATTTTGTACGGGGGAGATTTTCTTGTTAAAAATCGGGGCTACAACTCCCAACTACATATATGTACATTGACCATTTCATGGCTATGCTGGCTTACATAATCTCTCAGTAGTAGTTCTATGAATAATTCTTAGGTTTGGTTTTGTTGATTGGCATATGCAATGAAGAAAAGCCTTACCTTTGTATTATTTTCTCAACATCAGTTTACCAAGATCCAAAAACAGATAAGGCCATTTAAAAATGCATCTTAAAATAGTTTAAAAATTCTTTGGACATTTCATATTATTATCTACCATGGTAGGAAATGCCTTGAAGGTGTTGTGTTCAGCAACCCTCAGCCTTATTTTTCTTGAAATATTTTCCCCTCTCATAATGTAGTAAATACATATAATAATAGCATCTTTTTTATGAGAGCTTTTATTATTTGTGTAAAAAGCCCATTTGCAGAATAAATATTAAAATATATTAGGACTCTGGGGCGCCTGGGTGGCTCAGTCAGTTAAGCAGCTGCCTTCGGCTCAGGTCATGATCCCAGGGTCCTGGGATCGAGCGCCATGTGGGGCTCCCTGCTGAACGGGTAGTCTGCTTCTCCC